GCAAACCGCCTGGCATGCAAACGCCTCCCGTACGCCAGCAGGTAAGGGGATTTGGGCAGCAACCTGTGGCAGCCTACGGCCGGAAAGATAACACCTTCCGACAATGCCTGCTCCCACCACACACTCCTGCACTGAACTTTGCAACTTACTGCCATACGCAGAATACCTGAATGAATCCTGTAGCATCAGGTGGGAGTACACACTAGCCACATAGGGAGAGTAAAACGTCCAGCTTACGCAATGGCGAGCACCAGCTGCTGTAGCCAGGATGTCTCATTTTGCCCTATGCTTGAACACATGCAGTGTCTTGCTCAATGTGGAGACAGCATGGGCCGTACGAAATGGCAAATGCCACAGAAACACGAACTGGGAGATATGGAAGTGGTATGAATGTATGACGCCGCACAAGAAAAGAGTACGGTAATGCGGCCAAGTACCAACATACCTTGCCAACGGCACTGGAGATCGAATTTTACTATGAAAGCATCCCTGCAACTACAGCATGAGCTGTGTATACATCAGGCTTGAAAACGGCTAACGCTGTATTGCCAGGGCTGCTTTCCCGAAGCCGCGTGACCATCCACGTATCCTTTGCACCCTCAAAAACGCCACCGCCATTCATATCCACGCCCGGCAAACAAAACCTCATCTTGCCTCCAGGGGTCCCACCTTGAATCCTGGAACAGTGGAGGCGAAATATCTTGAATTGGTGGGCGTTTTCTAGTCTTGTAGATTCTGAGGGCATTCAGCAGCTTGTTTGCCAAAAGCGTGTTGAACTTGACAGCGGTCCGACAGAATTGGCTTGGTGCGGGTAACGAATAATCCGTATCAAGAGCACTTACGAAGGGATCCCACCACAAGCCAACTTCCAAGTGGCCTCTGAGATCCCACCACAAGCCAACTTCCAAGTGGCCTCTGAGAAGTTCAATTGCAGAAACCAGGTAGTTCCCACCACAAGCCAACTTCCAAGTGGCCTCTGAGAAGTTCAATTGCAGAAACCAGGTAGTCCATCGCCAGGAAGGTGCTCCCCAAGTTTGCAATGGCATAGAGGGGCCGCAACTGTCGGGAACTTTCAGTCGTTCTAATCCATACAGTGCTTGCCAACTCCTTTACCAATTTCACGAGGAGATTCGCATCTTCCTGGTTGAGCGTTTGCTGTGCAAACAGGCGTCGAAGCTCCAGTAAAATGTTGATAAACGATGCACTCTTCGGTGGTCGGCTAAATACTCCAGACGGGTCAAAGTCTTGAAGCGTAACACCCGCTTCCAAAGCTGGCAACCGCACGTAGGGGTGATTGCACGGGTCTTTGGACGAATACAATGCCTTTCTGGGGGCAGGAAGCTGCGGATTCGCTGAGACCAAGCTGACAACACCTGAAGCCTCTCCACGTTGTGGCACGCTAACTATGCCAAATGACAACGCACCTCCTCTTGTCTCACTATGCTCATATTGATTGTCTGTCTTCTCTTCTATCCACTCGTCGGGCTTCAGTTCGGAACTCACGCCAGAAGCATAGCCTTCAAGGGGTTCAAGGTCCTGTTTCGCACCTCCAGATCCCTCACCGCTTCGGCATCCTCTTGAAAGTATGCCGGCACCTATGCTGGCCTGTGCAGAATCGGGGACCTCGTTAAAGGTTGCATCTTCAACCGGCGCTTGTTGTACACCTTGTTTCAATTCATACTCAGCAGCAGG